GGACAGCGACGACGCGTGGGCCACGCACGATGCGCAGGTTGGCGAGACAACAAATCGCCCCATCGTTTTTCGCGGACCCCGCGGCCGGCGCGGCCGGAAGAAGGCAGATTGGGCTGCGCATGGGCGCTGTGTTAGGAAGTATTCGCGCGCAGACGCGGGGGAAATACGTGCCACCCGCCGCCGCATCAAATGAATCAAGCGCGTCCGGGTCGCCGTTCGGAAAACAGCAGCGCCCTGCAAGAGACACAGGGACGACGGCTGGGTGGATTGCCGGGAACCCGCGCGCATTTGGCAGACGGATCGCTCATCCGTAAATATCCACGGCGGAATTCGGCGGTTTGCGGCCGCGGCCCGCAGAGCGGTGAGGCGCACGGAGCCGTATGCGGTGGCCAAACGCCCACCGTTCTGGACGCCGAAACTGGCCGCCTTGGAGCGGCGCGGAAACTCTCCGCCTCGCACAGCAGCGACGAACGCGTCTCCGCAATGTCGCATTTGCTCGCTGGAAGGAGCGGTGCTCCCGACCGGAGCCGGCGGAGGCGGCAAGCTGCGGCCTCGCCAGGGCAGTCTACGCCCCGCGCCCCGCCGGTTCTCCGGTTGCGGCGGCGGATGGCCAACCGACCGCCACAAAGGAGCGCGTCGGCACCTTGGCGCGAGTGTGCGCCGCCACGTCGGATTTCCCTTTGGGGAGCTCGACGCTGCATCGCGGGAGGTGCGTCTCCGGAGTGCGCCGGGGCCTGGCGCGCTTCACTGCGAGGCCCTGCATCAACCGCCCCTCGCCGCCTGCAAGGAACTCGCGGCCGCGTTCAACGGGAGCATCGGCGACGGTGGCGCTCCGGCTTCCTGGGAATGCGAGCATTTTGACTATCGCACTTCTCAAGCCTGGGAAGCCGGGCAAATGTTTCCCGCCCCGCTTCGGCCCGTCGCCCTCACCAGCTGCCCGCGTAAGCTCGTGGAGGGAATTGCGGCGCGACGCATCCGCGGCACAGTTGAAGCCCAACTTCTTTCCCAGCAAGTTGGTTTTCGCCCTGGTCGCTCCACGCTGGATCCGCTGACTCGCCTGATTGCCGGGATCATTTCACCGTGGCAAGCGGGGGAAGGTCGGTGCGGTGCTGGTGGGCCACGCTGGGGCCTTCGGCTCGGTTGATCGCGGCCGCATCCTTCACGCACCCCGCGCGCACAAGGTGGCGCCGTGCCTGAGCCGGTGGGAGGCGGACTTCCTGCACAGCCGCGCGGCCAAAAGCCGCGTGTACAAAATACGCTCTCCGCACCGGTTCATTTCACCCGTGGCGTCCCGCAGGGTTCGTGCTCGGCCCGCCGCCGCCCACCGTTGCCGCGAACAGCCCCGGTGAGGAGCTGACGA